AATTTAAATTTATTAAAAATAATAAATTAAAAAAATTATATTTTATATAAATTTATATATAAATAAATCTATTACGTATATACATGGTAGGTACGCTTTTATGCAAGCACATGGCTCTTTAGCTTCCCAAATAAGCATATGAAAATAAAGAAAGTAAAAAAAAGAAGCTATATCGCAAAAAGTAAAATATTTTACTAATATAAACATAGGTTAAACCGTCCTTTTAACTCTTTATCTTAATAAATTTATAGTTTTTAACTCATCATCTTATATTATAACATTTTTAACCTTTTATTTTAATAAGTTTATAGATTTTAACCCTTCACGTATACGAATTGAAGAAAATAACTCTCACTTAAGATCAAGTTATAACGTTTTATTAGTTCTGTTAGTTAGTTATTAACTCTGTTAACCAATTATTAGCATTCCGTTAATATTTCATTAATAATATTTCATTAATGGAATTAACAAATAAAATTAAATCTAAATTTTATATTTTTTATACCGAAATACTAACGAATACTAACAGTTAGTTAATAAAATTAATAGTTAACTAATAGAACTAATAGAACGTTATAATCTAACGTTAAGTGAGGATTATTTTCTTCAATTCATATATGTGAGAGATTAAAAGTGTCATGTTATAAGGTGAGGATATAAAACTTATAAATTTATTAAGGTAAAAGGTTAAAAATATCATATTATAAGTTGAGGGATTAAAACTTATAAATTTATAAGATAAAGGACTAAAAGTAACATTTTACCTATAAACATATCGGCACCATGATATGATGCAGACTTCATAAGTATTAGGATTTAGGAAGTTAGGATCTCTAATTTTGGGGCTTTCGTTCAGAAAAAATCAGTGGTCGTTTTTTTGGCTTTCCCACCTACTACTAGCATTTTAGGAAGCTCAGTTGATCTAAAAAAAAATAAAATAACTAAAAGTTTGTGATTTACCAAAAAAAAAAAAAAAAAAACTAAAAGTTTGTGAAATCTTACTTTTGAGTTTGGTAAAACGAAAATAGCAATACTCATGAGCGGGTGAATGAGTTGGTTGGGACTTTTTTAATTTAATTAGAAGTCTTGAGTTCAAGTTCTGAAAATACAATTTCGTTAAAACTCATAAGGAAAAGCTTTACCACCCATTAAGTTCTGCTCGACTCGAATTAGTTAGTGGCTCAATGGACTTCTGGATACCAGATTGTCATAAAAAAAAATGAAAAGAGCAGTGCTAGGGGCACTCGCCTCCAGCACTCTCCGCCAAACACATGCCTTTTTATTCGGCCACGTAAGCTTGCGTGAGCATGGAATGATCATCTCTCAGAAACCAAAATAACGTGGCCCAATGAAAATGGAAGTGTTGGTTGGAGAGTGCAATTGGCGAGTGTCCCTAGCATTGCTCAAACGAAAAAAGTCTTACCATTTCTGTATGCATTCCTGAACGCACGTGGCTCTCTAGCTTTCCACATAAACAACTGAAGTCTTCTAATGGGGACTGGGGTTAGTAGGGCTGGGCGCGCACGCGGGCAACCGATCGGTTGCCAGAAAACCGCACCAAAGTTGGGCTTACGGTGCGGGCATGAACGTTCTTCAGCCCAAGCAGTGGTTTCAGGCGTCAACCGTTTCTAAGCGGTGCAGTGTTCGGTTGTAGATTCAAAAACCTAACAACCGAATATCATAACCGAAAACCCGCATTATTTTTTAAGCAAATATAAAACATATTACCTATGCATTCAGCGCAAACCATAATTTGAGAAATTTCGTTCATTCCCTCCCAGCTTCTCTTGAAAATTTTCATCTACCCGCCTCCTCCATCCTTCGATTCTCCGCCAAAACCTTTCCCTCCACCCTTTTTAGAAAGTTTCAAATGGACTCATCGTTTATCTCTAGTATTTTCTTCTCATTTCACTTTCATTTTTCTCACTTTCTCTCCTCATTCACCCCCTTTCACAGTCGACCAAGATCTCATCCTCTCTTTATTGTGAACTCTCTTCATCATCCATCTCTAACACTAATCTATTTTAGATTCAGCCATATCTCTACCGTGTATCACCAAAAATCTAAAATCAAAGCCCAGATCTCCTGTTTCTTTCTCTCTCCATAAGGGTATCTGGTAAGTTGTTATGGATCCTTTCTCTCTTTCTTTTCTTTTTCCTTTTCGACTCTTCCTATGGATTTTGATTCTGTCTCTCGTCTTCTATTTCTACAAGTTACACAGCATCAAACCATCTGCTCTCTTCATCACTGTAATCCTTCTTTCATCGGCAAGGTATCACTGTAGGTAAAATCCCTAATTCTTTCATTATTTTTTCTCCTCATACTGTATTTTGAAAGTGAATCAATGTTTTGATTTTTCTTGAAATTGAACTCAGAAGAC